AGCAGTCCATTAGGAAACCTATACATATCAATAAATGTCACAATAGTTGGCAAGAAACCCGTTGGTTGGACAAACATTTGGTGATTAGAAAGGCAACAAATTGGATAGCAATAGCCCAAGGTGATTATTTTTTTATTGCTTGAAATGGCTCTATCAGACAGCTGACCTGCAAAGTTTGTAAAGACGTTAGGCAGTCGGATAAAAGTGTATATATAGAGTTTTTGAAATTTCACAAAAAAAAAAAAAATTAGTTTATAAAATAATTTAATATGAATTTCTGCCTTCTTACATTCCCAACGTACTATTGTAACAGTAATTGATCCCATTAAGGAAGACATTGAAAATAGTTTTACTAACGGTCATAGGGCAATTAACAGGCTAAATATACCAGCTGACCTATGCTGATGGTGGGAACTGACGGCTTCAATGACACTGAATAACTGCATTCTCGGCTAACTGCACTTTTTGTGGGGGATATATTCTTGCCATCCGCTGTACAGGACTGAATGTCAACATTCCAGAGATAGGTTATCTGAATACAAGTAAATTTATCTCAAATAATAAATTGAGATATATATATATATATATATATATATATATATATATATATATATATATATATATATATATATATATATATATATATATAAATCCTTGAAGTTGAACAACAATTAATGTTAAACTAGATAAATATAACTAATAATTATCTGAATGTTTTACTATGTTTTTTATTTATTTATTGCAATACATATGTGAGTAAACGCACATCTACTTCTTTGTAAAACAAATCGCAAGTAATAGTTCAATGACATAATTGTCAAAAATAAACTGCATAGGGAGATAAAAAGGCGGAATGGAATTTATAATCGAAGCGTTGGGGAACTCCGAGCCCCTCTACCAGTGCACTGAGCTCGGAGTTCTCCTAAATGAATATTTGTAATTACTGTAAGTAAGTATGCCATTACTAAAGTTGTTATTTGATAAGATTAAGTGTTTATAAATTTTGTTTATATTTATTGCTTTTGCTGTTATTCCATTTAATTTATTTATATTTATTGTAAATATGGTGTGAATGAACTATGTTATCACTGCTACTAGTTTTAACATAATGTAACTCAATAAACAAATTAAATATATATATATATCTGAAAGATTTGAGAGAAAAATCCTCCGCACGATAACTGGAGCAATCTGGGATCAGAGTACTGACACATGGAGAAGAGAGTCATGGAGAACCAATAAAGAACTGCTTACAGAAACTGGTGAATCAATATCTCATGATATGAAGACAAAGCGGTTAAGATGGGCGGGGCATGTAGCTCGTAGTAATCCATCTGGAACCCTCTACGTAATACTGAATGTTTCAATAGAAGACAATAGACCACGTGGTAGGCCAAAAAGTAGATGGATAGATAGAATCAACAAAGATGCAATTGAGCAGCATGCTTATAACTGGAAAGAAATAGAGCAAGACAGGTAGAGATGGAACAGACTTGTTAAGGCGGCATACGATCAAGGTCTGTAATGTCAAACTATATATATATATATATAGAAGTAAATCATCTTAAATCTAAACCTTTAATTGTTTGTTTTTTTAATTTATCAGATAATGGTGCCTCTAATATAATGTGGTTGAATACAAAAACAGAATATGAAATTAAATACCCTATTATGGGGGTCAGTTCTTGCTAATATTTGTATTTTTATGGGTGATAAATATTCAAGACGCAGTCTTTTAAAAAAAAATTTAATTTTTTATTTATGCCAACGTTTCAACCCAAACATGTGGGTCATCTTCAGGGCGAGGTTTGAGTGAGCACTGAGGGTGTTCCAGCAATCATACACCCATGAGTACTTGAACACACTCAGTGCTCAAACAGCGCCCTGAAGATGACCGACATGTTTGGGTTGAAACGTTGGCATAAATAAAAAATTAAAAAAAAAGAAAAGACTGCGTCCTGAATATGTATTACCTATGATATGTAGAACAGTTGACTAACTTCCTTCAATTTGTGTTTGTAGTGACTAACTTTAAAGCTTTTGTGGTTATGCAGTTTGTATTTTGTACTATTTTGGAAAATATCTATGCATTTAATTTTGACATGTTCTAAATTTGCAATAATTTTAAACTAACTGTTTTGTACGACTTCATAACATTAGATCTGCAGTAAATAGATGGAACACAAAATAGTTCAACGAAGAAATAAAACGTTTGAGAAGTTTTCACTTAAAAGGAAAACATCATATTTTATGTACTTTTTAAGTTGCAAAAATAAGCATACAAGTAAATTCAACGTTGGGTGTCTGGCAACTTTAAAGGATTTTATACCATTAATTAAGAAAAATACTTTTTTTTCTGTAATTTGCGAATATTTTTTTTAAATTTGATGTATTACTGATAAACTGTTCCTCCACTATAATTCTGCTAATGTTTATGATAAAAATTTTGAATATATTTTTACTTTTTCTTTTTGTTCATTGTAGTTTAATTTTTTGTTTTATGTAGATATTAGTGGAAAAGTAATATTTTTTAAAAATATTTTATTCACTATTTTTTAGAAAAATAAAATTTGATATAGCATTTAATTTATTTTCACACTGTAGCGGTTTATTATTTTATTTCGACATATTTTAAGTAATTATCATGAAGATTATGAATCTATTTTAAATAGTAAAATTTAGCTTAATTTTTTTTATATAAAAATATATTGATAGGCTCAGACTGCCATTGAAGGCAGCTATCAGTCACGGCCGACTGGCTACAGGAGGGGTTCCGCCATTTCTGGCACTCCTGCAGTGATGCCAGTCGGTCTGACGAAGTCTTGTAACATCATTGCCCAACTGAATTGTCTCTGAACTAAGGCGGCTAGGGGAGTTCGGGTCTCGAACCCGAGTCCTTTAGCACCGAGTGCCACGCGCTCTAACCACTCGACTACCGAGCCGCTGGGCTGGTCATGTCACTTGGAAGGGTATTTGTCGAAAAAAAAAAATTTATTAGTATCTCTAAACAATATTTTATATATTTGAAAAAATTTTTTTACTGTCCTGAAATTTTATATTTTTAATTAAAATAAATGAATTTTATTATATTATATTTCATAGAATATGTAGTTGTTGTTAAGTGTAATATTAAATTAAGTGTAATCATATAACTTTAAAACTTATACATATTAATATTTTCTCAATACTGATGTATATCTCAAGGTAGTAAGTAGCCTATACTTTGGCCGTAAATTAAAAGCCCTTCCTACTTTTTCACTCATCGTCCGTAATGCAGAACCCTTTTATTCGCATTATTAACATCCTCCTAAAATTTCGTAAAAGGCATCACCTTTTCGTATTCTACAAGAGGTACCAAAAACTTATAAATAACCATTTGCTTTGAATCGTAAGTTAATTTGGTCACAAAATCGAAAAAAAAGGTGGCCTATAAAAATAAATGGCCGTTTGGCCTGTATAATCTAGTTGGGAGAGGAGGTCACATCAAACGGCCCATTATTTTTGTAAGCAACTTTTGTTCTTGATTTTGAGATCAAATTATACTTCCATTCAAGTGGAAAGCAAATAGGTACTCATTGGTTTTTATTACCTAATTAAACAGAAAAAGTTTGCCGATCTTCAGATTGAAAACGCCCCAATTCTGAGAATTTATGTAAAAATAAAGATGTTCGGTTGCGATGAGATGAAGCAATTCACGAAGTTTTAGGCGGATGTTAATAACTTGAAAAAATGGGTCTGTACCACGGACTATATATTCCTGTTCCCTCACTCTTCTTTCGATTGGCCATCAGTTTATGATCGTAGTTTTGTAGTTTTCGTTTTCATGATATCTGTAACGCTCTCCAGCCGCTAATCGATCTCCTTATCAGACTCACTGTTACTTGTCTTATCTTGGATCGACTTCTTTATCTTTCAAACGTGTCTCGTGTTTATCCGCTTCATTTTTCTCAATTTTATTATGTCTTTATCACAATTTGGTATGGTTTAACAGGTTTATTATAATTATTTAATTGATTTATAAATTAATTAAATTAAGTTAGGAACACCTCAATCAGTTAAATAAAGGAGACCTTCCTGTGACACACATAGTCTTTATAAAGTTGATGGTACTCTTTAAATAATTAAGGGGAGAAAAAACCTGACAGTTGAGCGTGATCTCAGTCAAATCATCTCCTTCCACAAACATTGACTAAGAACCAATACTTCCTTATATAGTACTGAATCCAAGACCCTTCATGGATTTTAGTGGTACTTTTCTTTGTTTTGTTTTTTATTAAAATTAATTAATCAGTTCAAACATTAGTTTTAGAAATCAGTATTTATTAAAAAAATATATAGTATTATAATTATATAATGACAGACAGAATAAATAGCAAATGTAAAGATGAGTAAAAAAATTTATTACATGAGGAATCAAAACAAAATAAGTCCTTTCTGTTGACCATATTTTTATATTTTTAGTTTGGAAAAGGACAATTGAACATACAACCTGGTTTCTTAAGGATATTGGAAGGTTGTTTGGGATACCTAATTACCTCTGCTTTTATCAATATAATGAATATTGTTGAAAAACCTATACTACTAATATAATGCTGGTATTTAGACGATTATGCTCTCATTACCACATCTGGATGCATGATTTCTGAGAGATCTATCCATTTCATTTCGTAAGAACTTTGTCTTCTCAGTTTGCAAGAGATTATTATAGGTCAAGGTACATAAAATGATTATGTGATGGGAGAAATCATAATGTATTAATGGGTGACAGTTTACTACAGTACATATGCTATGCAAAGCTTGCGAAGAATGCGCTAGAATGGATTGGGAAAGCATTAAACAATAATGTAGAGAATACAACAATAGGTACTGCCTGAGGAACTCCATTAATATTATTTTATTGAAAGTTGTTTGTAGAATAACTTTTGATTATATATGTTTTTTAAAAGTAATAATGCAGTTTTATTTCTTGACTTATAATTTCTTCCTTGCCTCTCTGACAGAGTCGTCCCCCGAGCCGAACTGCTACGAGACCATGTCCGACAGCCCTCTCCCCTCCAAGAGCGGCTCCCTTTCCAGAAGGGAGAGGTTCCTCTTTTTGGAGCAGAATAGGAAGGTCTGGGCCAAGCTGTCAGGGTCCGAACTGTACCTCTACCCCGGCAGATCGGAGTCCAGGCCGGCGTCGGTTATCCAACTGGAGGGCTACATCGCCAGGCCCGCCACCAGCCACAAACCCTTCGCCTTCGAGATTGTCTGCCCTGGCAAGAAGACATATCAGGTACGCGACATAATAAATACCTATTTCAGTTTTAGATGATCAATATATATATTTTTATTTTTTTATTTTACTGGTTCATTACATAATTAATTGTCATATTTAATTACTGATAAGTAATGGTTTGTTTTTATTAAATTAAAGTCCTAATTATTGTAAAGATATTCATTTATTCATATTCATCTACAACTTCATTTATTTAATATTATTTGTTTCTAAAATTCTCCGCGTTCCAATGATATATTATACGTATTCCTTCTGATTGATATTTGCAGTGATTCAGTTTCGACCTGGATAAGCATTTTGCTTTTTTTCTCTAGTTTCCAATTACGGAGTTAGCCATTTTTTATAGTTACTGTCAATAAAAGAGAGTTAAGTTTTTTTAATTAACCATTTTAAAGGTACTTAAAATTATAGGAAGAAGTATATGAACATTGGGTATTTAAGCTCTGTGAAATAACATAAATGGGGATAAGGCTTAAATGTGTTTCACCGTCCATATAAGTTGGCACTTCCCGTTAGCTGATTGTATGGAAAAAGTAGCTGTAACATTTAAGTCATATATCTATCTTAAATAGGTAATATCAGTTTTGTACGACTTTTCGTTTTTGAGCTAGATAGATGAGCTACACTCAGACACACACACCATTTTGCGGGCCTTGGTTATTTGGACTCAGGAGACCTCAAAATGTATTTCCGTTGAAAAATCAGATTCAAAAACTTTCACGATCGCAATACTTTCCCTAACATATATATATAGGGAATATTACATACATAGGTTAGCGAAACTAAAAATAGATAATATATAATGCAGAGCAGTTTCTCTCTTGCTGCCTTAAAACAAATTAGTACAATTTAATACTTTAAATCATAATTTGATATTATTATTGATCAAGAAGGTATCAGAGGCTCTTTATTTATATGAATTAATTTCCTATATATCAAATGAAAAAAAGTAATATTAGTTTTATTGGTTGATATTGAACATTAAGCATCAAGACATGCTGCATAAATAAATATAGCTTTTTTTAAGAGAAAGTTAAATTCTTTCTTATTTCTCTTTTAATCCATTGATAAGCATATTTAATATGTAATTAATAAAAATTTAGTGATTCACAAGTAAATTTTTAAAATAAATTGAAGTATTTTTTTTTAAAAGGAGTGTCTTACCACTTCATTATCTTATAACCAAAATATATATTTCATTTCATGATAGTTGTTCGCATTACTGAACTAGAATTTATTATTTTTGCCCATAGGAATCATTCCTATAACATTATTACTTATGTTATTAGTATTTAATGTGAATCCTGAAGAAAACGGAGTAGGTCGAATGGTATATCGTATCAACAATTTAAATTTTATTTTATTTCATATTCGTCCAATCAGAAGTTAATTTTGGATAAGAAGTAACGATATTTTTTTATTATTGTTTTTTAGCATCATGGAATACGATTCTAATAATTATTATTATTTTCCTGGTTGAACATAGAATTGAACGAATGGTGTATCACGGTCAAACCAATGACTCATACATATACCTCGTGATTTTAATATTGTCACGTGTAAAAAAAAAAGGATATTTATTTTTAATGTTTTGTCGCAAATTGAATAGAAAGCATGCATATAACATATATTATGAGAGTAAATTAGTTAACCTCGATAACCGCTAAGTCAACCTTGAAAAACTCAGCTGGAATCATAGTTCCAATATTAATTATTATTTTTTTTTTAGATTTGAATCCAACAAGTTGGTATAGTTAAATAAATGTTTTGTATTACTTGGTATGATTGTTGCAATCTGCAATGAACGAAAAAACTATTTTTTTGAAGGTAGAAGATATTTATAACGTTAATACTTGAAAACGAAGGCAGTGGATCAGCTGATGCGAAAGGACGTGTTTCTACATCGTCTCTCAGAATTTGCTTATTTTGCAGTGAAATCTTTGAGATTATTTATTCAAAACAAGTCAAGAATACATAACAACAATTGATATTTATTGTTTGTTATAAATTATAGGGTTATTTTTATTTTATTTTATTTTATTTTTTTCATTTTTTTTTCCCTTATATGCGATATCACAATCAGGCCATGTCTAGTAGAGCTTCTATCAAGAGAATTCGGCCGTTAGGCTCAACACCTTGTTCTTCGCCTGTCAAACAAAAGCCTCGTCAATGTCGTCAAACACCTGCAGTAACGCCTATTAGCTCCAGAGAAAATGAAACCCAGCCAGGAACATCATCAAAACCAACAATTGAAGAACTTCAGCATCAACCAGGTACATCTTCACAAGAGATAACCGAACAATCTCCGTTTTTCACCCCTAACCCCTATCAGGTGCTTCAGAATGATAAAGAAGTGATGGAATCCGCTTCAATACCAAGAGATCCCCGACCTCCACCCATATTCGTTAAAAACATAAACAATTTTCAGTTACTATGCTCACAACTGAACAAAATAACAGGCTCTGGAAGCTATTCATGTCTAAGCAGAACAAAGGACACGAAGATATCACCAGATACAGCTGAAACCTACAGAAAAATTGTGAAGTATCTAACGGAAACCAACGCGGATTTTCATACGTACCAATTACGGCAAGATCGAGCTTTGAGAGTAGTCATAAGAAATCTACACCCCTCAACACCAACCGAAGCAATAGAAGAAGAATTGAAAACTTCAGGTTTCATAGTGCGCCAGATTACAAATGTACAGAAGGAGAGTAAAGAACAGCCAGGAGTAAAAGTTCCTCTACCCTTATTTTTCGTAGATTTGGAGCCAAATCAAGGGATCGAAAAAATATACGAAATAAGAAGAATATACTACACAAGTGTTATAGTAGAGAAGCCATATCCTAAGAGGGAAATCGTACAGTGTCACAATTGCCAGGCATATGGCCATACCAGGACTTACTGCCATCATCTGCCGCGCTGTGTGAAATGTGGAGAGCAGCACAAATCCGGAGAGTGCACAAAACCGAAACGGGATCCTGCAGTTTGTGCATTGTGCCTTGAAGGACATCCAGCGAACTACAAAGGCTGTCAGATCTACAAGAATATTAAATCAAGATATCAAAAATCCCGGACCCAAGAAGAAGCAGAGGCATCAAGAAGAGAACCTAACGCATCAAGAAGAGGACCTTAAAAAAAAATTGACCCAACGGTGTCTTTTGCACACTTATTAGGAGGTAAGAATGATGTTACTTATTGTGAGACCCTGCCGCAACAACAACACATACCTCAAAATTCTCAACCCCACCCTCAACATCCTAATCAAACTTCACCTAATCAACAGTTTTATCAACACCAAATTCCCCGCATTCCTCCTCCCTCAAATACCACAGATCTCACCAGTTTACTTACATCTTTCCTCTCCGAATTCAGATCCCTTGTTACTCCTTTGATATCTCTTCTCACCAATCTTGTATCACATTTTATCCCTCCCGCGAAAAATCCTTAAATGACTTCCAATAAACCTTTATCCATTCTCCTTTGGAATGCGAATGGTGTTAGAAATCACACAAACGAACTAACTACATTATTACTTGACAAAAATATTGACGTGGCACTAATTACTGAAACTCGACTAACCACTAAACAGCACTTCAAAATACCACAATACCTGACATATCGTACTGACCACCCTGACGGAAAAGCACATGCCGGTACTGCTGTCATTGTACACCAATCCCTCTCCCATCACCTACTCCCGTTACCTACACATGATTTCCTACAGTCCACCGCTATCGTGATAAAAACCTTTTCCTTTCCGGTTACCCTTGCATCAGCGTATTGCCCTCCTAACCGATCCATATCCAATGCCCAATTCCGTTCTCTCCTCGACTCCTTAGGACATCACTTCATCTTGGGTGTAGACCTAAATGCCAAACATCAACAATGGGGTTCCAGAACCACGAATACTCGTGGCCGAACCCTGCTGTCTGCACTCAATTCCCAACATTTTCACCTCCTTTCCCCCAACTCTCCTACCTACTGGCCTACAGATCCCAACCGTAATCCTGATCTTCTTGATTTCTTTATCCACAGCGGCTTAAGTCCCCTCAATTGTTCCATTACACGTCTAAATGAACTTTCCTCTGACCATAGTCCTCTAATCCTTAATGTTTCACTTGAACCCGTTCCCAAACCTTCTCCACCGTCATTTATTAGGGGCCCAGTTAACTGGGACCTTTTCCGCCAAATCATCTCCGATAAAATTGATCTTAACATATCCCTCAAAACTCCCGATGACCTTGATAGTGCCGTAAATTCCTTTACTACCACAATCCAACAAGCCGCCTGGACTGCTTCCTTCCCAAAAGACTCCTCCAGAATTCGTAAAAAGACCGTTCTACTCCAACACCTCCTTGACCTAATCCAAACCAAACGCCGTGCCAGATTATTGTGGCAACGTACCCGACATCCTACCGACCGCTGCTCCTATAATTATTACTGCAAAAAATTAAAACTGGAATTAGCCACCTTCAGATCACATTCCTTCAACTCCTACCTATCCTCCCTTTCTTCTCGCGACAATTCCCTTTGGAAAACCACTACCAAAATCTTAAATCCTCACCGCATTTCCCATCCCCTCCGACGAGATGATGGCTCCTGGGCAGCATCTGACGAAGATAAGGCTGAGGAGTTCGCCATTCACCTATCCAATACATTTATTTCACATCCGGAATCCCATCCTGCCCACACCGTAACAGTAGAAGAACTCCTTACATCACCAATCCCACTTTCCTTGCCCCCAAAAGCTATTCATCCTTCCGAAGTGAAATTTCAATTAAAAAAATTAATCCCCCGTAAAGCTCCTGGACAAGATCTCCTTACCCCTCAAATCCTTCGACAACTTCCATCCAAAGCAGTCATATTCCTTACATATATCTACAACTGTATCCTACGCACCACCCACTTTCCTCTGCTATGGAAACACTCCACTATTATCCTTTTCCAAAAACCAGGCAAACCTCCCAATATCTCAACATCCTATAGACCAATTAGCCTACTCCCAATCCTTTCAAAAATTCTTGAAAAGATCCTTTTGAAACGAATCCTACCCATTATAGAATCCCAAAATATTCCTTCCCATCAGTTTGGTTTTCGCTCCCAACATTCTACTGTTCAACAAGGACTCCGAGTTGTTGATCATATTTCCTCAGCCCTAGAAAACAAGGAATACTGTTCGGGTGCATTTCTGGACATTGCACAGGCATTTGACCGGGTATGGCACTCCGGACTGCTCTTCAAGCTTAAAATCCATTTACCTCAGTCCTTGTACCTAGTCCTCCGATCCTACCTCTCTGACCGCTCCTTCCGAGTTCGCTGTGGAACAGAATTTTCCAATATCTACTCCGTTAAAGCCGGTGTTCCCCAAGGCAGCGTCTTGGGTCCCGTGCTTTACATCCTCTTTACTGCTGACATCCCTGTTCATCCCGATACTTTTCTTGCAACATTCGCTGACGACACCGCAATCTTATCATCCAACTCTGATCCCAACATAGCATCCTTAAATCTCCAAAACCACCTCACCTTGATTGAGCACTGGTGTAATAACTGGCGCATTAAAGTTAATGAATCTAAATGCCAACATATTACCTTTACACTCCGACGCAGTTCCTGTCCACCAGTACACTTTAATTCCATCCAGCTTCCTTACTCAGACACAGTCCGGTATCTTGGCTTTCATTTAGACCGAAGACTAACGTGGAACCCACATACTAGACTCAAAAGACAAGAACTCAACCGACGATACGGCCAGCTATACAGACTACTAAACAGAAAATCCAAACTTTCTATTGAAAACAAATTACTTATCTACAAGACAATACTGAAACCTATATGGACATACGGACTTGAACTGTGGGGAACAGCAAAAGCTTCTAACATCAAACGTATTCAATCCTTTCAATCTAAAGTCCTTCGAACAATAGTTGATGCTCCGTTCTATGTAAATAACAAAATCCTACACCATGACCTTAATATCCCATTTGTCCTAGACCTTATTCCAGAAAAATTCTCCAAATTTCACCAAAACCTTACCTATCATCCAATTCCCCTTGCACAATCTCTATCCAGCACCACCCATCCTTACAATCCTCCTCGAAGGTTGAAGCGGCAGTGGCCCAGAGACCTTTTGTAAATAAGCATCTATTGGAGTTTTGGCAATGGCCAGATCCTCCACTCAAGCCCGAGTGTGTATGATTAGGTTAGTTCTTTTGTTTATATACATTTATTTTATTTTATTGTATTTATTTTTATTTTATTTTATTGTATTTATTTTTATTTTATTTTATTGTATTTATTATTATTAAGTTTCTGTATTATTTATTTTATTTTTTATTGTAAATAGAGTGTGAGTGTGCTTTCTCTGATCACTATTATAAATGTCCTTGATGTGACAGAATGTAATATTTCTAAATAAACAAATATATAATAAATAAAAATACTTGAAAAAATTTAAAAAGTTAATTTGATTGTATCTTTCCCCTTAAGGAGCAATTATGAAAATTAAAACCGATTTTGAAAGTATAAAATTCAAAATTATTGCAAGATAATGATAGCAATGTTTTGTGTATTCTCTATAACGTTTATGTATTATCTGTTTTTCGTAATTATGGTGGAATACCTTTCCATTGACGCACGATCCGGTAGCTAGTTTTTACAATTTGCATTTACTTTTCCTTTCCAGCGTCTGTACGCATACTCTCACGAATTGCGGTAATGTAATGCTGGTTCCGTATTTTTCTTGTATTCAAAATTCTTCTCATACCTACAATTTTTTTTCATTAACCAGTTATCAGAGCATGCAGTGTGAAAATCTTTGAGAGACACGAAGAAGGGTTTTTGTGGTAGCTTATATTATGATACTATTAGTAATTAGGCTTTTAGATTAGGCATGTTCTAACCTATACATCATATGAATAATTAAGTTTTCTAGAATTATTTGAAAAATTAAATTGATAGATTTGGCCTATTTCAAATCTAAACGGAAGTCTAGTATTCATTTCTGCAATTTCGAAATAAAGTATGTATCAAGGTAAAATATACAATATGTAACCACTAGCGGATCCAGGGTTTAATTTTTTTGGGCGTAGGCTTCAGCCCGAAAGCTTTTTTTTCGTGTATATAAGGATAATTATTTTGGAAAAAAAGAAAGATACTAACTACCTACATGAAATGGTGTTTAATTGATTCTTGAAGTCCTATTAAATATAATTACACGTACAACAATACTTTATAGATTTTTTAAAATTTTTTTTATTTCTATAAAACATGGTTAGATTTTACTATTTTGGGGGAGGTAGGCTTTCGAGCTGAAGACCTGCTGCCTGTTTATGTAATTATAAAAATGCATATTTGACTTCCGTTTAGATTCGATATAGACCCTGCGTATCACTTTAATTTTTCAGTTAATCCTAGAAAACTTAATTAATTCCCTATATGATGTATAAGTTAGAATAGGTTTATTTTAAATGCCTACTTACTAAAAGTAAATACCATAGTATCAGCTACCACAAAAACCCCACTCTTTTTTACTTTTTAGCTAAAATACTTATTTCGAAAAATATTTTTTTTTCATTTAAGGTATAATTTTGATAGGTGAGTTCAAATTGTTAGAATATAAGTGGAACAGTAGTGCTCTAGAACAAGAGTTCATCATTTTTGTTAATTTATTGTTAATTTGTATATATATATATATAGTTAAACTCATGTTTAGCTCATTCTGGTAACTTACATTGAAATAAATATGTTTTCAGTTCACAGCTTGCAGTGAAGAAGAAATGAGCAGCTGGGTGGAGGCAGTGACAGACGCAGGTACCAGAGGGAAACGGGAGCTCCCTCCACCGCCCCCCGTACAAGCCGCACCGCCCCCACAAGAGGTCTACGACACCCCGGACGCGAGGCTGCGGCCTGTCACACCCCCTCAAGAATACGAGAGAATGATATCCGACTCTCTGTATCACGTCATCGGCTCAAAGCAGATCCCGATACAGGTAATAATAAAAGAAGCTTAATATTTTCCTTGAGAGTTGCGGGATGGCTGAGCGGGCTAATGCATATTCACAGCACCGCGCTTTACTCTGCAACCTGATAATAAACGAAGTTATGGATAATAAAATAATTACGAGTTTGCGTCCTGGCGCCGAGAGGGGACTTTTAACTCTGGCATTTATCCCCCGCATTCATCCCCATGCCTGGTAAAACTCCGTATAACCTAAGAGGCAAGAAGAGGAGAACAAAAAAAAAAAAAAAAAAAATACCTTCAATTCTATTCACAAACATAAAATCTCTATCCTGGTTCTCTTTGATTTTTAAAAGCCTTCAGGATTCGTTAATCGCGAAATCCTCCTTTTCCATATCAAAAAGCTTTCTAAAGTGGTTTCAGGTGTGCCCAGAAAAGGATTTCATGGCGAAAGTTACGCCTTCGAAATTTTTGAGAGTAGCAAATTTTGACGGGGCTATAAATTTTGAGGGGGGTTCATTTCGACGGAGTAATGAATTTCTCAATGAATAGTTTTAAACAAAGGGACAAGGAGAAAACATGGAGCGCACCGCATCAGGTGGAATTGTAAATGATTTACAATTATTTAAATTCTACTTTCGTTTGCTCTCTCTTTAAGAAGACGAGAGAAAAAAATATATTGTGAGTGAGGGGAAGGAGAGGTTCATTCACCATCTACCTTCGGAAGGTATGGCACCTTCTTGTGTCACAGATCCTAAAAATTTAACATTCCCAATAAAACTCTTCTCGGGGGCGGGGTGGCCGAATGGGCTAACGCGTTTGCACTGCACCGCCATTGCCCGGCAATCTGATATATGACTCTATGATTAAAAAAAAGTAGTCACGCGTTCGCGTCTCGACATTTATATATATTTATCTATAATTTGAAATGTTTACTTGTGATTTTTTTCTTATAATATTAGGTTTAAATAACTATTTAACTAAATTAGTTCTTGATTGTTTTCTAATGCCAGACAATTGTTCATTATAATTATTGTAAGGGGAATAAATGTCCTATAGTAAAATGTTATTTTATTTCTATAAATTTATCGATAAGAAGGACGATTTTGTATAATCCTGAAGTTATTATCGACCGGCGTTTAGTGATTTCGAACTATATCATGGTTGCAAGGTTGTTTTTTATTTATATTCCACTCTGGCTTGCCCAATGGGCAAACGGACGTTTGAAATAGAGGAGTGTTATGCATGATTGCACAAGAACACACTACTGCAAGTGAAAGAGTATAAAAGACTCCTGATCAAGGGTGTCCGTCTTCCGGCGGTCTTCTTAGTGGTGATCCTCTTCTCCGTGCTCTAATGTTGAAGTGGGCTGGACCCACTGCCTCCTTCCAGCCATAAATTAATTTCTTGAATTGATAATTTATTGATAATTCAATAAATTGAACCTAGGGAAGTTCTCCTTACTTACCAACTGAGGAAGTTCATCCTCTGTTAGGACGTAAATTCCCGCGGTTCTCATCGTTGTTGCTCTTATTCCTTCCAATGCAGTGCAGGTCGTGACCACGTGCTCGACTGACTAACCTGGTCATCATGAGGTTCTCCAGGACCTTACTTCTCACAGAGAGGAGATAAATAGGTCAATTTTTTTTTTTTTTTTGTTCTTCCTTACCTCGCCATTTAGGCTATACGAGATTTCCCCGGACCGGAGAGTGAGGGCGGGGAATTTAAAATCCTCTCTGGCACCGGGACGCGAACTCGTACTTATTTTTGTCTCTCCAAACTTCATATATCTGGTTGCCGGGCAACTCGCGGTGCTGTGCACACGCTTTAGCCCATTCGACCACCCCGCCCCCATATTGGTCTATATGGCTTGGCGAGTTGTTTATCCTTGCCTTCTCCCTTGTAGAGGAGTCTCAAATCAGTGATCTTCCATTTCCTTGGGAAGTATCCCCTATCTAAACAATCATTAAATATGCCTAAGAGTCGCTCTTCAATATAGGGGATACTGTTCTTTAAGATTGCTACATCTATACCATCAAGTCCTGGTTACAAGGTTGTTGTAAACCATACCAAATATCGTGAGAATCTACATTCAACAGAAGAATAGCAAAATCAAAAGGAAACGGATGACTTTAAGCCTAAAGGTTAAAACTTATTTTTTATCGAAGCTTTTTAAGATTGCGACTTATGTTAACGAAGCATTTCTATAAAAACACATATTCCAACAGATGACGAACACGTAGTTAAAAAAAAACAAGGTCATTAAAACCTCTAATATGCTATACCATAAAAGGAGATAACAAGTTGGATCATTTGACAATCAAAGGTGTATTTTTCATAAAATGTAAAAGGTTTCCCCTGTTTTCTTCTTATTCTATACATTTTGTTTGTGATGTACGTGTTATTTGCTCGCATTCACATTGTTATAAATTTTTAGTTGTTAATAGGAGTGAATTCGTATATATAGATAACAAAAACACATTATAATAAAATGGATAGGAATTTAGTTACCGTCGAGAAAATAATTCATCAATGATAAACTGTCTATTATTACTTTATAGCGCGATAGCGTCTGTCGTAATAGAGCTTTACAATATTATGGTGATAGGAGCACACGAACAATCTATTCCTCATCAATTTTTATTAGTAACATTAGTGGTTGTTCTTCTTCTTCACTAAACTAACTAGCGGGGAAAGATTTCTCGTCCTTGCTATTTTTAGGAAATGTTGAAACACTTTTTGCTTTCTATAATATTCCTTAGATATTTATTTATATTTTATCATGTAATTTTAGCTCTTACCAGAGAAATATTTTAAGTCAGTACATTGTGTCAGGGACTATAATGAACAAATAGCTAATTGAATTCTGGAAGCAGAAGTTTGAGGAATGGAAAATAATTTAGTCTTGTCAATTTTATTTTCGACAATGTTACTTGGAAGAGATGGCAAGTTATTTATTAGTTGTCGATGATAGGATATCTTAAATAGATTTTAATATTATTGCATATATATTTTGTAGGCGTTCTTAGCATAGATATTTCACTTGAAAAAATTTCCCGCATACCATTTATAAACGACTGTCAGTGGTTTGCAATGAAGAAATGTGCATTTTCTCAGAGTGCATATGAATAAATAATATATCTCTACTTGTCCGGAGAAAGCAACTACTTCTGCTGCGACTTACTCTCTCCACGACAGACCTAGAAATGGCTTGTAGACGCTGGAGTCTAGAGCGGGATTAGAAAAGCAAGTCTGCGACATTAACATAATAACACGAAGAAAGTATGGAGGAAATAGTACTGGATGAAAGTTCACTGTTTGCTCAAGTTATCTATTGAATGAAATTGTACATAGGTTAGATCAAGATTTGATGTATTGTCTGAAGTATTGAAACCGAAAAGGGATTTTATTAGAGACGTAATAAAAGGGTTATCGAAATAAATGACCATTTTATCAAATTCAAGATTTCAAAGGGCTGCAATTATTTTAATACTTACCAATACTTATTAATCCCTTTAGAGCATTCTCTAAGCTTGTTTAATCCCAGTTTAGTTATTTGTTTCAAAGAAGAAACATGACATTGTCCTACGAAATTCTCGAAATTTTGAGGCATTACTGGAAAAAAAATTCACTGCCGCTGAAGCAACTCGTAAAATTATTAAATATGAAGGGGAAGGTGTCCTTGACCAGCGCACTGTGCGGCGTTGGTTTGAAAAATTCGACAGTAAAGATACGACGTTGGAAAGGAAGAAGGGCTCCAGACGATCATTAATGGATATTGATGAGGTTATATAGGAAGGTGTAGAATCAAATCCGTCCACGAGTACTCGCAAACTTTCCAGAGAGTGTGTTGTGTCGAAAGATTCTGTTAGTCGCCATCTACTATCCGTGGTGAAGGTGGAAAAGAGCAGCAGACTGGTCCCTCACGAACTTACTCCTCAGCAATCAGCTAAGAGGTTAGGATTTTGTGAAAATTGATTAAAAAACCCTTCTGATATGAGGACTCCTGCCTCATCCACTATATAATCCAGACCTCGCACCATTGAGTTACTACTTATTTGGAACCATGGCCCATTTTCTTAAAGGAAAAAAATTTGGTAATTTTTCAGAAGTTGAAATTGCGGTCCAAGAGTTCTTTGACAGCCATCCCAAAGAATGGTATCAGCTTGGGATCGAGCAATTGGCTAGCAGATTGCCAATGATTGTAAATAACAATAAAGTATACTTTCAGTATTAATTGTATTTTATATCAAACAAATAATAATACAAATATCGGGTTGAAAAACGGTATTTTTTTTTAATACACTCTATTAAAAATAGAGCTCTAGCTATATAAGTATAGAGCTGTGTTTTTTAAAATATCTAATATTTACTAATCTTGTCTATTGTGGCCTAATGATTAACTTAAATAATCTACAGAATGATATATTATTTATCTTGTTCTTATTAAATTGACAACAATAAAGTATGGATGATTAAAATTTGTATTAGTGCGTAAGCGAACTATAAACGTCATAGTTAATTGAAACGTAGGTAGCGTGGTCAGACCACATGGATTTTATGCTTCATGAGATACCATGGACGGAGGTTTTTTTTTATATCAGTATCGACAATACTCTCAGAGTTCTTTTTAGTTTTTTTAAAAAAGACTTTGCAATTTTATATTAAAATTATAAGATATAATTATTTACGGCTTGTCATCGTGGTGTGGTAGTTGTACCTTTCTTATCTTATTTCTTTGAAACTTTAGAAACTCAAATACCAAATCCTTTATGGTATCAAAAAAAAAAACTTAATTTAACTTGAACTACATTAACTAGATAAAGATAGTACATCATCCCAGATAATTCAACTTATAATGTCTAATTATTTCCGCTATTTGAGTGACGGCTTTCTTTTGGAATCTTCCAAACAATTTTAATCACAATTTCCGTACCATCATTATTCCATTTATTTATTCTATCATTTATTTTATTATTTATTCAACACTCCGCATTTTCTGTCTTATCACATCTTTAACATTTTCTGAAGAATGATACATAAGTAATTATTTCAATAAAAAATCTACAAGTAAAACAATAAAAAAAAGTTCTGATCGTCGAATTGTGCTGTCACTTTTAGCTGTGCTAGTGACGCGGGACGTCAACAAATGTCAATTCATCCAAAGTATTTATAACTTTCACCTGTCAAAAAGATGGGAAAGGAAACGTAGAAAGCTGAAAAATTCATCGTGAAAATGATGTTGGATAAATATTGTGAAAAAAAGAAAATTCATCAAAGCCCTCAATGAAATGTTTGCACTGTCACTTAAACACACATCTTTATACGGAATCTCCATTTCCATAGCGAGTCTTTAGTATATTTTTTTCGATTAATAGACAATTTATTTATAATCATTATTATTTATATCTATATTCCATTAATTATCTAATATTTATCCATCAATGTTCAATGAACACTGGCATATTTTTGGAAATATGGCATTGTTATTTAGCAATTCTGAATGGCTTGACCCTGAATCATCTTTTTTCAGCCATTTACTTGATTACTGTGATTTTGACAAACACAGTGGCCCAAAGCCGAAATTCTTTTTGTGTCAAAAATACAATAGAAATGATATCTTGAAAACTAGTTATTACACGAATGAGTTGAAAACCAAATTTTAAAGTTATGACTAAGATTTTAATTTACATAAATTAACATGGATAAATATTTAGTAGTTGGTGTTTTGCGTACAGTGTTATGTTTTTCAATATTAGACGATCTGTAAATACTTGTTATTCCATTATTTTTTAAATATTCAATATTTACGATTTTCGAGTAGGTGCTCTGTTTTTTATTTTTAAAGTATTAATTCAATTTACTCTGTAAGGTTTTCAGAAACTGTAATGGTATTAGATTGTGCAGGACACCACAACCTTGGAATCGTAAAGAATTCCCACACACCGTTACCTTATCCTGTAACAGTTTGCGGTAACTGTCGAAACCCAAGAAAAATGCATTTGTAGTTGATTTCCGAATCTTCTCGATATTGTTTGAAATAATCATAAACACTTGTTTCCCGTTGTTGTATGTATGTATGTTTTTCGTAATAATGCGAACGAGAGTCGTGAAATTGGGTCTTTGCAAAATTATTTTCGTTTCTAATGGAGTCATATCAGTTTTGAACATGAACAGAAATTCATAAGATTTTTTATTTTCCTAATTTTTTATTATTCTAATCTAATTGTGAATTCTTAATACTTCAACGCAGAGCTGTGAATTAATTCCACAAGTGGCAAGATTAATTTTTCATCTCTCGCCGATAAAAATCTTCGTTTTATAGCAATACTTTGGGTAATTTGTTTCAAAATAAATATCAAAACATCATAAGATACACCTATTTTATTGAATATGGTAAGGTCGAAACAATCAAAAGCAGAAATAAATAGTTTTTATTAAACCTGAAAATAATATTTTTGTTAACATTTGCTGCCCAGGGCAAATGTTCTGTTAGCAATTAAATCCTCATCCCATCATAGCTTTAAGGCTATAATTGAATTTTTATTTACCTTTTTGCTTTATTCGTGACTTATTAATTTTTATATCTAAGTATGAGTTTTTGGAATAGGTATTACATAATTCCCAACAAGCCTGGTTAACACTAATTATGAATTGACATCCTGAAGTTTTCCCTTTTTTTTAATATATAATTTTTTTATGAATTTGTCTCATATAGTTATTAATTTTCTTGCACCTAATTTGATCCCTAAGAAATGAGTTTAGAGTGTCTTGAGACATTCATCTAACCATAGATTAATATTAGATCAGAAAAAATTCCTTTTTTTAAAATTCAAAATATTTAAATTATAACAAAAAGATTCTTGACAATTCAGAATTGACATGGCCGTAATTAAATTTATTAAATAACGCACAAGCAATCAAAAACGATTCTAAATACTTAGTTTTAGTAACAATAAAAGATAATGGTGAAGAAATTATAAAAAAAAAAAAAGAAAAAATGTGGAAAGTGCCTAATTTGCCACAATTGCCTAACATTGCCTGATATAAGTTCTTGAACAACAATAATTTATTCTATGATTTAATTGTTGTGGTCGTGATATATAATATGTTATTTTATTGATTAACTGGATGGCATTTAGCAGAAAAGAACTACCACGACATATGTAGCAACAAATGTTATACTTCCTAATTGTTTCTTCACGTCCTAACTCCTGTTTTCCCAAAAGTTTGATAACCTCTGTGCACTCAATTATTTGTTTTTTAATATTTAAAAAGCTATATTTTATCCTATTTTTCCAGAAAATAATAGACTTTTTCACTTCACTGAATAATAGGCTTCATTGAATATACACACACATACAAATATGTAAAGTACCTTTAGGGGGAGTCTAGTCTTCTTCCATTCACCTCTGTCATTTTTGAAACTTTTTTTTCAGCTTTTAAGGCTTTGCGTTCATCCATGGACTCTCTAATTTGTTTTATAGGATTAAAAATTTGTCTATAAACAAAGTTGATCCGAGAAAGGTTTTATCTGACCAAACCAAATCTGATCAAACAAATTAATAAACGCAAACCAATGTGTTTGGTGTGGACACATCTTTAGAGGATCAGAAGAAAAAAAAATGCACAACTAAAGATTCAATAACACTGTTCTATAACTATACAAACAAGACATTTATATTAATCGAAAAAACAGGTATTCGAAACAACTCTTGAGACATTTAAAACTGATAATGGAAATTGGGCAATAAAAAATCATAGCATGATTTCCAGTTAATGATCCTGTAATTTGCTTTTGTTTTAAATAGTTTTATTGATGAATTTCAATGTTTTTTGTTACCATCAATGATAGATAAATATTTAAATAAATTTATATTTATTTGTATATATTTAAATATTTGTTTTCATGCAAAACATCACTGCAACAACTAATAAAATAATAAACAATAGTTATAATTCTTATTAATAAATCATATAGAAGCCATTGTTTTATCTGTTAATTAACATCAATTCTTAATGTTCATTTTTGTTTTTATTTAGGAACAGCTTTACAAAAATGTTGGAATTGGAAAAGAGGAAGAAACTTGTTATTACAACCTCCTACCAAGGGATACAGAAGAAATATACCAAACGATTACAGAAGAAGAAAAGCATGGTATAGGCCAGAGCAGAATACAAGCAATTATTAAAGCAATGGAAGCTTCCATAGCAGAGGCACAACTTTACGAACCTGTTGATGGTACACAAGAGCGATAGCCTGTTTGGTAATTAATTACACATTTTATAATTCAATAACATTAAGCTTATGTATATTTATCAAATAAAGTTTTGTTTGTAAATTAGAAAACTAATAATTTATATTTTATTCAAATATAATATTTCTTAATTTCATGCCAGCAACATGTTTTAAAAGATAGATAATTTTGGGAGAGATAAATTATTACCTCAATTATCATTGTTAAACAAATAAAGTAACATGATATTGAATTTAGAATGTTTAGATGTTATTTCTTGATAGAAAGTTTAATAGGGTTTAGATCTGGATTATATGATGGTTTGTTTTGGTTTGTTTTAAAAGATAGATAATTTTGGGAGAAATAAATTATTACCTCAATTCTCATTGTTAAACAAATAAACTAACATGATATTGAATTTTGTATGTTTAATTGGTATTTCTTGATAGAAAGTTTAATAGGGTTTAGATCTGGATTATATAATGGTTTGTCTAACTGTCGAACTGTTTTGTTTCCAAGGCTCTTACTGCATCAATTAAAGTGTTCAGATTGAAAATTAACTTAGTATTAAACTTTTAACATTAATTTTTAATTATATTTAAAAATTTTCATTTTGTGTATTACTACTTTTCAGTTAGTTTATCATAACAAAAATATATTTTCGCAAATAATTCATATTTTATTTTATTCATTTTTAAATTTATCTTTGAAATGACTTTTTAGGATATCGTCTGGGAATTTGCTTCTGCATTTGATATAAAATGACATCACTGGGTTTACCGATGGTGATATTATTACGCTAACAGATTGGTTGGCAGAACAAGAGGAATCCATTGCTTTGCCTCTGTTTAGGAAAATAGATATGTATATAAATGTAATATAGATAGAAGTTTGAATTTACAATATCGAGCTGTTTTATATATATTTGTATTTGTTTGTTACTTTTTATAAAAGACATTATGTTATTTTTATGTTGTTTTTTTTTCAAGTGCTTGATTATTGGTTTCATGTATGCTATACAAAATACATATGAATTATTTCTTTTTTATGTGTTTATTAGTATAAAAAAGTAAATAAGATATTAAATTTTAGCAATATGTTTAGAGTAAACTTGTTTATTTTTAAAGTTAAGAATTTACTTGCATGAAAATAAACTTTAGAACATTATTTCCATATATAAATTACATAAAATAACGTTCTAAAAGCAATTATGTAGACAGACTTACTTAGATGGTAAAAAATAAGTACTTGATTGTTACTGTAGACTGAAATTTCAATGTATAAAAAAAAAATCTGCTAATGTACAAATAGTTATAAAATATAAAAAAATATATGTATTTCCAAAGAGGAAAGTCAAGAAATGTAAGATGGTTTTAGATAAATGTGGATGAGAAATGAATCTAGAGATTTGTTATTATTTGATATTAGGCCAAAGAATAAAACAAAAATGTCAATTTATATTTTGTATCAATTTGTGTAGTTTCTATAAATAATTAAGATTTATGTTTTAATTATGTAAATAAATAAAAATTGTTTCACGCCTAATATTTATTTAGAAATAAAATAATCATTTCCCTTACAATATTTTAAAATTTATTTTTTTGATTTTTTCTAATCATTTCAGTACTTGATCACTTGATTTTAGTTACAAATCTGTTTGAATTTAACTTTTCTTAATAAATAACCTACTCATTTCCTTATCATATAATTTATAGAGTTGCCAATTTGGTGCAAATTATGAAAAGTTACAAGATTTTAAATATACTTCACTAAGGAAACTAGTGTACAATTTCTATGACTTACAATACTAACAATATACGCTTGAGGAGATATTGTTGTGATTTGGCTACATTTCGGTCATGCCAATTGCTCAGAAGGATGGGTATATGACTCACATGAAATAATAAATTAGCACATCTGAATATACATGCAGTTTTGTTTATAATAACTAATTTTTACCATTTCTAACTAACTAAACAAAAATTCGTAAAAATAAACAATATTTTGGAAATGTCATGTGATGATCATTAACAATTTCTATAATGGACTACACTCCCTGTTAGAATTTGTTCCTAATTAATGTTTTGAAAACAGTGATACATTTTATATTTGAAAATTATTGTTTCATAATGACTGCTATTCATGAAATCATTAATTGATTTCAATATATTTCTGTAAGAAATTCAATTCTATTAGTTTTAGGTACATAAAAAAATTTAACTTATATTGAGGTGTAAAGAAATCTTTCTTTTTGGAATTCATTTTCATAGTATTATGTTTTGGAGAGGTTAAGTAAGAAATATTATTGGTTCGATTTACATTCTGTTTACAAATTTTGGCAACATGACCAATCCTTCCGCTTTTCTTACATTTCAGAGTCTGCGGGAGAATAGAACATTCTTTTACGATGTAGCATATTTCTCCAAATTTCTTACTCATAGTTTCATGCCTATTGCTCTGGAGGATCTGTATGCACTATGTATGATATGGGCTAATCTACGTGAAAGAGGGGGCCTTTTGGGCTGAAGTCCCCCCAAAATGGTAAAATATAACCATGCCTTATTAAAAAAAATATTTCGTAATTACCTCAAAAAGTATTATTGTTCATTTAGTTACATTTAATAGTACTACTGGTTAAAATAGATTTGTTGTACATGTAAAGTAATCCTCAACCATAACACCAGATTGTTAAATTTAAAAGAGCTTCAATTTTGTTTAAGATTCTTATGAATATATTAGAAGGCTTGGCCAAAAAATACTTAGTTGAATACAATTGTGGCTCACTAAAAATTGTTATGGGGTCCTTATAACCTTTTATTCATTGTGAAAACACAATTCTGTTGTATGCTGTTAGTTATTTTTAGAAAACAGAATTAGAACATTCAGCCTCTCTGTATGGTTGGAAAGAAGTTGTTGGTCAAATCCACTTCCCCTTGGATTGGAGTTAAGAAGGCCTGTGCTTGAAGGAAAAAATGAACATTTGTTAAGTTTTATTCTTATTTTCTTGAAAACCTCTATTGATTCTTTTCCACTGCTATCTGTTGATGGGCCCCTCATGAAATTCATAACTCCCTATTTTGGCGACTGTCAAACATATATTGGTCTGCCTCAGCTAATGTGACAAAGACCCTATTGTTTGGTCTTTGTACCATCTAAAAAGTTTTAGGTTACATGTCAAATAAAATTGATCAGAAGTTAGTGTTCTAATCAGATGGATAGACTAGTTTTAAATTTAAGTAAGTTGTAAAAAGGATTCATAATCATTTTTAGAGATAAAATTTTAAAATGCATGCAAGTGTCGTGCACTTTATTATAATCACTAAATCAGGATCTTAACAATAGATATGCTCTTGTAGAAAATTAAACACTGAAGCAAAAACTTAAAATTATAAACACAAAAAAGTAATGTGTTTATATTTGATAAAGTATTATCTGTCTTAGCTAAATTCCTCAAACCTTTCCATACTGTGACTAGTGTAATTGAAATATTTCAGCAGTTGAAATCTATAATAGTTGAAAAGATATTTAAAAGAACTCAGAAGATTTGGAAGAAAGCCTTGGTGACGTATTTGTGCAATTTACTAAACTTCTTAAAACTAATGTGACATGTGGTGCTGAAACTAACAAATAAAAGCATAAATCTCTAGTACTACAATTTTATAAAATTATAATAAAAATTTATTAGTGATTTTTCATATTCCTAGTGAATATTTCACAAGAAATATTCTTACGAGTTTACTTGTCTTTAATGATTACTATCTGTTGTAAGTTGTTTTATTTTATCATCCAACAAAATGTGGGCCCTCAATGTGACAATTGCTTCTTACACTGTGAAGGCTTAATTCACCAGTGTCACATTATTCATTGGTAAAAACTGATATAATTTACTCTTGGGTCATTTTGTAAAAAATGGAGTCATTTGATTCCAATCTTATTATTGCCTCACGCAGAGCTAAAATGGATTATAATAATAAGCCATCTATCCTACTGGATTTGCTGGAATTATTTCCCTTTATTTCTTTGGATAGAGCTTATAAATAGAACCAGGGTGTTTGTGCATTTACTTTTGAAGTTTTTTGCACTTTTTAGCACCCATTAGATCTAGTGAAAGTAAATTTTATCACAGCTGATTGATATTCGTCTTAATGTTGATTTTTTTGTCATTAGAAATTTTATATTATATATACTACATTATTGGATAAGCCAGTTCTTGAAATGAAATTTAAGCTTTTATTTTTAATTAGCTTCGAAACAACTGGCATCTTTATTTTCAATTTTATTTTCAGTTATTTCCGAACTACAACTGTTTCTCTTGCAATTTTTCAGTATAAATTTTACAGAACTTTTATTTTAAAAAAATATTTAAAAGTTCTGTTGATTTATCTAAAAAGTCAATCTAAAAAATGACTTTTATTCCTAGCTATTCAAGGAAATTACACATTAGAATAATGTCTAATTTATATTAGAAAAGTTATAACTCTTATTTAAGCCCAACCACTGTTTATTTATTATTTAGTGGAACTTTTTTAAAAACTTAATTAAATAAAAATTAAACTTTTACCGTGAATCTGGAACTTTATTAAAAAAAGTTCCTTATAACTTTTATCTTAAGAATTTTTTACCTAAGATGTCACAGAATTAGATAAAATGAAACTTTTTATAAAAGTTCCGTTAAAGTTTCAACCATTGGAATAAATGAAGATACTCCCATGTCTTTCACCACTACACTGAGTCAAGGTGGCTCTTCCGCTCGTACGTTCCTCTATTAAATCATCAACAGTCATCGTCCTTCTTATGTCTAAAACATCCAATTCAAGCTCTTAGTCCACTCCCTTTTCACAAAATCTTGACCTTCTGACCTTTACATCTCTTTTCATAGATCTGCCTTATTCCTAAATTCCTTTATTGCTTGCTCTGTCAATTTCTGGAATTTCCTTCTTATCAAAATTTGGCATCTCCCTCTATATCTAAATTCAAAACTCTTCTATTCCAATTCCTGTCCCATAAACGTGCTAACCTTTTGGCATTATACATTTATTTCATGTCATTCATCATCAAATGTTAGAACTGTTCTTTGCTGGGGATATTACAAGATTTTCCTAGTTTTGATGCCACTGAACGCATGAATTGTTTGTTTTTTACCATTATTTTTGTACAATTAAATTTGTACTAATAGTCATGGCAACAAATGATTATGATGTATTTACATATTATTCATCATTTAGATACTCAGGTATTTTATATTGTCAGATTTGGCTTGCTTTTTTCTTTGCAGAAACACAGAGCTTATTTAACAGAAAAACTTAATGTATTTTTTATTTATTTATTTTCTTAAAAGTGTATATTTATAATGTTTTATCATTGTACATAGTTTTAAGTTCCATTCCATATTTTTAAGTGTTTTGTAAATAGGTTTATTTGTTTTGTATATAGCATGTTTAACTGATGTTTTATTTACTTTTTTCTCTTTCTTTTTATTTTTTTGTATTGTTTAGGCCAGGTGTAATCTTTTAATTTTATACTATTTTGGTATACTAAAGGGACCTTTTCCCAGAATAAAGCTATTTTCTATCTATCTAAGAAAGTTGAAGATATTCTAAGACATTTTGAGAATAAAATTTAATAAATATTCTCATCATATATAAGGGATGGGAAAAAAGATACAAACACACATTATTTTATCTGTTTAACCTCTGAAAAAACATAAAGTGAATAAACTGGTTTAAAATTAAAAATGGTAAGTCATATTATTTTTAATCTGTCTCCTTACCTCCCAAAAAAGCAGTACTCCAGTAAGTGAATGTAATTAGAAAACTATTATAATTAAATAAATAGTAATGGTTTAAAAAAACGATCTTTAAAATTACTTGTATGTGATGAGGGATCAAAATAATTATTTTGATTTTTAAAATAAGTGTAGTATTGCAAAACGTTTGTGGTCACTTAATATAGTACTAGTCAATGTACATTAGATTGCATTTAATTCTGTTTGTTAGTATACTAAAAGCTACTATTGTTGATAAATATATGAGTTAAATATTCTGTTGGATAAACTAATGAAAATAAAAAAAAGAAAGATTCACACTAATTTTGCGAATGATGATAGAATGTATAGGTTGCTAAGAATATTTAAGCGTTTCCCATAACCAAAAGAAATGGAAAACTGTATCTAGACTAAACAACAGGGTATGCACAGAAGATTGTCAGTATTTCCAAATCAATAATACAGTAGATGATAATAAAGAATTTTAGAAACTAAGCTGGTCACCTTCACAGTTGTATTTCTTTTTGTGATCATTTATCATACTGAGCTCAATAAATTCTTCAGCAATTAGTACATCAGAATTGATATTCCTGAGTAGGTTATAGAGAATTCCTCTATAACCTACTCAAGAATTTCAAAGACATACAAAGCTATCTAAGACGATCTGTACATATTTCATGTATAGGCCAAAACATCAGTACACCAATAGCTGTGGTTTTGACACGTTTGTTGATTGTTAGATGACTGTAAACCAAAAGCTTTATGGAATCTAACCTGGATGGA